TTTGTCCAGATTGTCCAGTTTGTTGGGATATAGTTGTTGGTAATATTTTCTTACAATCTTTTGTATTTCAGTGGAGTCAGTTGTTAATTCTCTTCTTTAATTGCTGATTTTATTTATTTGAGTGTTCTTTTTTTCTTCATGAATCTGGTTAAAGGTTTATCAATCTTATTTATCTTTTCAAAGAACCACTCTTGATTTCATTGATCTTTTGTATTGTTTTTCCAGACTCATATTTCTACTCTGAGCTTTATTTCCTTCCTTCTGTCCACTTTGGGCTTTGTTGTTCTTTTCAAGTTCCTCTAAGTGTAAAGTTAGACGGTTTAGCTCAGATTTTTCTTTTTTCTTGAGATAGGTCTGTAATGCTTTGAATTTTCCTTACGATTGCTTTCACTGTGTCCCATAGATTTGGGGTTGTTTCAAGATATCCTTTCATCTCTTCCTTAATCTCATTGCTAATCCATTCATTGCTTAACAACATGTTATTTAGCCTCCATGTCTTTGTGTTTTTCAGTTTTCTTGTGATTGATTTCTACTTTCATAGCATTCTCGTCAGAGAAGATGCTTGATGTTTTCAATCTTCTTAAATGTATTGAGACTTGTTTTGTGCCTTAACAGGCGGTCTATCCTAGAAAATGTTCCATGTGCACTTGAAAAGAATTTGCATTCTGCTGCTTTGTGGTGAAATGCTCTGAAGATATCACTTAAATCTTATCACTATGTGATGTCCTTTTTTGTCTCTCACTATACAGCCTTTGTTTTAAAGTCTATTTTGTCACATATAAATGTTGCTACCCTAGCTTTTTTTCATTTTCATTTGTATGGAGTATCTTTTTCCATCCCTTTACTTTTAGTCTGTGTGTATCTTTCATTCTGAGGTGGGTCTTCTAAGACAGCATATCTATGTGTCTTGTATCTTATCCATCAGCTACCCTCTGCCTTTTGATTGGATCATTTAAGACACATTTAAAGTTATTATTGAACCCGTGACCTTTTGGTGTACTGGATGATGCTCCAACCAACCAAGCCAGACCAGCCAGGGCAGCTGTTGAGAGATAGGTTATTGAAATTACAAACTTTAATGGCAGGTTGGCCTATTTTTTTCTTGCACTTCTATCAGGGATTCTCTTGTGAATTGGCACATTTATCATTTTTAAATGACCATGTTTATCTTTGATAATATTCTTTGCTTTGAAATCTTTTTTTCAAGTTATTTTATTTTTTAAAAATTTCTTTAAGTTATTACATATGTGTCCTTATCCCCACATTATCCCCCATCCCCCCACTCATGCCCTCACCCCTCTGTTGTCTGTGTCCATTGGTTAGGCCTATATGCTTGCATGTAAGTCCTTTGGTTGATCTCGCCCCTTTACCCCCACCCTCCCCTACCTTCCCTCTGAGGTTTGAGCATCTGGTCGATGCGT